TGGAATCCAAGGGAAGAAAAAGATCATTGCAATCGAAAAGTTATTTTCTTTATTAAAAATTCACTAAAACTATTTTCAAGTGAAAGTGGAAATATTTTCGATGAAACAGTAAAATCGAATTTAGAAAGAAAAATATACTTGTCTTTAATTGAAATTTTTACCATTAGATTACCATTATTTGGTTTAGATTACTTATGCAAATTTGATCGATATTACATGTTTTACCTCGTTTTACTAATAGTTGGATCTAGATTTTACTAATGACCCATAAATCTAGACGAACACTTGAATAAGAGTGATTGATTTATTGTCGGTGATTGGTTTCTTGTAGCGATTCACCATATGCAATGGTTGAGTTTTGAGACAATGAATTCAATTATAAAAATATGAACAAAAAAGTAGTATAATGGATGATATGGACAAAGTTCCATTAGGTAGCCACCCAAAACTTGTCTTTTTCATTTATTTTTTTTAATGTCTATACATTTTAAAAATTGTACATTTTTATGTTGTTGTTTCTGCCCACTTGAGCTTAAGTCCAAAAACAGTAGTGAACAATGTCATCGATTATCGCTGCAAGGTCACGAATTCACAAACACGTATGTTTTTACTTGTATATATAATGCTTATTTATGCCATGATACGATTCATCACGTGGTGCATTATCTTGCTATGAGATTATATTGGTTTCACATGTAAACAATTAGTTATAGTAGTTGAAGTTATCATTTTTCTACTTGAATAAAAACTATATGATCCACATTGATCCGAATATAAATAGTTTTTTTTGTGTGTGTGTTAATGAGTAAGAAAGGTAGTCAAATGGAAATTCATGAGTACTTTATGAGAAGGGTTTGTTTATTTTATTTTTATCAAACCGATTTTATAAAAGACTAAACTCGAATAATAAAAAAAGAAGAATGTTCAACGATATAAGACCGGATTTAGCTAAAGCGTCAACAGATTTGTTTATATTTTAAAACTATTTTATAAGAAAAAATCGAATTATAGACTAATCTTTAAAACATGTGGAATAACTAAATATTGTTGTCATTTGAAATATATTCATAGATCAATCATGATTTTTAGTGTAGTAGAATCATTCAAAATCATACTTTGAATTCTTTCGATTTTTTGTTTTTGTTTTGAATTGCAGTCAAACAATTAAATTTTTCTTTTTTACATTTGTTGCTAGACTATGATGAAAGGATTAAACTGTGATGAAATGCAGAAGATTTGATTACATGCACGAGAAAGGAGGTGGAACCACAAGCTTTTCTACAAAAATATATATTCTTTATAGCAATCCATTATTGTGTTCATAATGCCATCTTTATAAACTTTTTAAAAATTATATTCTCTTTCTTTTTTGAATAATTTACTAGAATAATGGTTTAGATATCCTATAGACGTAAATGACGATGTCATTTCTGCAAGATTTTTGAGCATGAAGTTCAACTCCACTCCCACGTAAAAAGCATAAAAGAAAAATGATCGAACCCTTTTGATAAAATAAATATTTGCGGAAAACAGAAATTTATGAGTTTTTCTTGTTACAAAGTGTTATGGTTTGTGTTTATCACTTTGTTATACCAAGCACAATTTTGCTTTTACATATATCATGTCGGTAAAAAGAAAATCTATAACTGTGGGGTTAACCACATCCACAAGTTGGATCAATATAGTTCAATACACATATATAGTACATATCTCATATGGTTTCATAACTTTGGCAGAATCTAAAACCTGAAAAATAATCACTTGTTTGAAACCATTTTCTATACAATTAGAAACTCATGTACATATATAGACACAGTAGAGATGTATATGTAGGGAATATGATTGGACATGATCATGTGAATGGATATAAGTGTTTGTCTTCATGGAAAGACTATTGAGACATGTGACTCTCTTTTTTTTTGGTTGTTTCTTCTTCTTTTTCCTGGTGAATCACAGACACTAATGCAAGAAAGAACGATGAAACTTTTTTGAATCCAATTTTGACTTGTTACTATCTTTGACACAAAATGTCAAGCATGTGTTGATACTCTATTTGATTCACACTAAAAGTCATGCACTTTGATTTTACACTTGTATAATTTATCAGTAGAGAAATCAGATTATTTTAAAATTGACCAAAAAAGTAGACTTAATTTTTTTTAAAAATAAAATAGGCAAATATGGGTCATAATATTTGGACAAACAAATGCTTTGATTTGAATACTAAATTTGAAAATTTTCTACACACATATTGGGCCAAAAGTCTTAAGAAGAATCAAATTGACTCGGACCAGCCCAAATAAAAGATGACATTACTAGATTCAGAACAATAGTGTGCCTCAAGAATCTCTCTGTAAAGTAACCAAACTTTTGGAAAGTCTTTAACAAACTTTCCTCTGTTGACAAATGCTAGACTGTTTCTTTTTTGGTTTGTTTCCCGTGTGTTATCGACAAATCGATCATTTGAGATGCACCAAGAGACATGAGGCATTGAGAAAAGCAGACAGTTTTGGTGAAAGAAAAGTATCTTTAGACCTATCCAAAACATTCAGAATCATCCTTGAAACCACACAAGTTCTTGTCCCTCAAGATTTCCGATATAAGAAACCGCGGTTATTGGACTCATGATCCCAATCCTAGTGTCTAAAATGGTATCAGTTTTGAATCTTTCTTACAAAAAATCAATCTATTAAGAGTCCTACAAGGTCTTTGAGTTCACAATCAACATAGCAAGAACAAAACCATTGCTTAAAGAAGAGCACAATATCAGATTGAAACACATAGAGTGAAAATCAATGAATTATTGATTTGGTATATCTATTAATTATCCAGAAGTAAAATAATTTACAAATGTCTCATAAACAACAACAAAAAAGGATTTTAACTTTCAACAAACAAAACAAATCACCTAATCAATTATAGAATAAAGCTATAAAAGTCAATCTGAATGTGAATAATGATCATAATAATCATCAAAAGATGAATAAGATCT